CTAACCTATTATGATAAAGTCACACTAATCTACTAGGATAAAGTTGTACTAACCTATTATGATGAAAGTCACACTAATCTACTGTTATAAAGTCGCAGTCATCTACTGTGATATAAGCTAGTATAACTGAAACATAAGAAACTCGGAGTCTGTTGTACTGAAATGAAATATTCCAAAATATGTGCACATACATCAAGGATAATGGCATACCTTTGTTTATCTCTTGTTCATATCTAAATACTTTATTTTTGAGGAAGAATGCTAATGATGAAATGAAATGTTTCCATAGTTTGTAATTGATATGAAATTCTGCCTATTTAAAAGTTTGCTATACTAATTAATAATTTCTGGAAACAAAGAATGTTGTGTAAATATCATAAGCATTTCAAATACTGTTATGAAAATATATTTCTTATTGAAGGTTGTCATGAGAGTTGTAGTGTTTAGTATATGTACTATATCTGGAAAGTTTAATTTCCGACAAGGTGCCTTACTTCTGCTCACATACATAGCTATTCTCGTTCATTGCTGCCCTCTATTTTAAATTTTTTCCCACGCCACAAGCATTTTATTCCTATGTACCCTCTGGGTTCACGCATTCAAATTAGCATGTGACAAACTTCTACCAATAGATGTGACTCCCTCTATTCTATTCTACCTATCTCTCAACTCAAATTCAAATTTGTGTAGCATTTATTTCTAGTTTACAACCTGTAATTTCCATTTTAATATTTCATAGTGGTATTATTTTATTGTTGAAATCCAGTTATGGAAATGAATTAATTTTCCATGTTTGTTTTTCTTTACAAACACAGTTGTGTTTGGTTTACATTATGAATTCCGAAATAAATGTTGCCACATTGGAGGTTGTACCTTCTACCAATACATTTACTCAGGCCTCGGGTGTATGTGTGTGGGGTAAATCAACTTTGAAATTATCGTCAATTATTCGTCAGAAGATTGATTGTTATTTGAATCAACCTTCTGATGTTGCCCAACTTCCACCTGAATAAACCAAACCTGTTTGGGATGACGACAATCTTTTTCCTCCACCTGAATTTTCCGAGTCTTCCCTGGTTACTCCTGTGGGTTCTGTTAAGCCTAATGCAGGTTTTTTAGACATGATTTCACATATATGTTCTGTTTTATCCCTTTCCCTGATTTTCTATGATCCTCTACCTTACTTGTTACTTGATACTCCTTCCTCTCAGTATTTTGTATTTCCATCCTCTCCTGATATTGGGGTTCAGGCCAAGTGTTTTGTATCTCAGTTATGTGATGGCACAAGTATGCCTCGCCCTCCACAGAGTGTGGACCAGTTTACTTTGGCCTACCATTAGGCTGATTTTCTGTTCCTGTATTCGCAACACTTGGAATCCATTTTACCTGTTTGGGGGCAGATCATAATTGACCTGTTCTTTTGTCCCATGCCCAATTTTCTCACCTATGTCTTACCCTCACATCTGTTCAGGATACATCTGGATACATTTGCTACTATCCTCAATGCCAAGTTACCTCAGTTTTGGTCTCCAGTACAGGATTGAACAGACAAATTCCCTTATGTTTATTCTCCTATTCGACTCCATCCCAGAATGATATCTATCATCCACTTCATGTCAGGTCCTTCTGATTGCCCCATATTGGTTGGCTCAACTGTGGTTTTCATGGCTGCTTCAGACCCAATCTGCTCCACCATTGCCTCTTCCCACCACTCCATCCCTTCTACGGCAGCCTCAGTTCCGGGTAGTTCATCTCGCCATTCCTACTCTTTATCTTCATGCCTGATCTTTATCGGATTCTTAGTGAGAAAATCCAGTTTATCATGCCGAGTAGCTTCATTATTGGCACGTTTTGTTCAACGTTTTGTTTATCAATGTAAGTAAAATGTCTTCTGCTATTGGTCTTTGGGCCAGGGTTTCTCCTCTGCTTGTCCTACTCTTCCTGTTATTACGGATTTACTCACTTGGTTATTTGATCAGGGGTCTTCAATCTCCTTCATCGCGGAACTTCATGGGTAAAGCAGGAGATAGCTGCCATTCCTTAGATTGAATAAATCAGGTTTGGTCTGATTTTCAATATTGGGTTTTGTGGTCACCAATTGCACTGGCTCCATTTTGAACACAATCAACACATTGATCACACTCATGGTGTGACAATTGGGATCCTTCATGCTACCCCCTCCTAGATTTCAGTTCCCGGCAGTTGAATTTTGGATTTAGACCTGAAATAATGGACATGATGTACTCACATGTGTAGTGTGCCACTGTCTTAGTAGTTCACCCCGTCGATTGGGATCCCTCATTCTACCCCCGCTTGGATATCGCTTCCCAGTGGTTGTGTTTTGGATTTAAAGCTGAACCAATCAACATAAGTCCTCACATATGTGTTCAGGGTATCCCTGCTCACTTACTCAATTCATTTTGGGTGCACTTCTCTGTGTTGTGGGTCCCGATGGGTGCACTTGGTCATTGCTCTGCTTCCTCCTCTTGTGCTCACCTCGTTGTCTTTATGCCAGGGATGGTACTGTGTTTGGAGTGGTTCTTGTATGTTTGATTTGAGAACGATATATCTGAATTTCATTCTGATCATGTGCCCTGTTCACTGATTGGTGGTGATAAATCTCCCTCTGGTTGGCTGAACTTGAGGTAAAGATAGTATGATCCTTTTTCATACCCCCACTTGGATGTTGGTCCCCGGTTGTTGAGTTCTGGATTGAAGTTGACTTACTGATGGTATGATCCTCGTCCTACCCCCCATGGATGTCATTTCCTGGTTGTAGAGTTTTGAATGTAGATGACTTGCTGTGTATGGTTCGTCATAGTCTAACCACTCTACACCTTGGGGCACATCCCTTGTTTGTCATGGTCTAGCCACTCTACACCCTGGAGTACATCCCCTGTTCGTTATGGTCTAGCCACTCTACATCCGGGGGTGGCTAGACCATGACAAACAGGGGATGTACCCCAGGGTGTAGAGTGGCTAGACCATGACAAACAAGGGATGTGTCTACACCCTGGGGTACATCCATTGTTTGTCATGGTCTAGCCACTCTACACCCTGGGGCACATCCCTTATTTTACCCACAATGAGATGTGCTCCTCATTTTTGTTCACTTGTCTCAGTCTCACCTTTTCCATGTCGGGGTGAAGAGTATACCAGATAAAGAAGTGGTGCGGTCTTCCACATATTATCCTATACTTTGAGGGTGTCCTTCGGATGCTTGTGGAGGATGCTTCTCTTTTCTTTCTTGCATTGGTCCCTTCACCTATGTGAGATTCTAGCTATGTGTGCAGAAGGAAGGTACCTTGTTGGAAGCTATAATTTTCATACACTGAAAATATATTTCCTAAAGGTACTCACTTCTTCTCACACTTCCCACCTTTCCTTCCCCACTGTCTACTGCTGCTTAGTTTTCTGCCTAAACTCAAAGTGATAGTTAGGTAGAATAGCATAGAGGGAGTCACATGAGTTACGTATGTGTGAGGCACGTCTATTGGTGGAGGTTTGTTTCATGATAATTTGCATGCATGAATCAGTTAAGCTATGTGACCTGAGAGGGTACGTAAGAATAAAAGGCTTGTGGAATGAAAAAAAAAAAAATGCAAATAGAGGGCAGTGCTGAATGAGACTAGCCATGTATGTGGGTGGAAGTAATACCTGTCGGAAATATAATTTCAATATAGGAAAAACTATAACTTTTATTTCCTTTATATACTATTACTATGTGACTGTTTTATGTTCTTTTACCATTCCCTTATAGTGGATACAATACAGAGGATCTAACTGTGTCTGCATATATACATAGCAAAATTATTGTTGACTTATGAAATTGGATCTCTGTGATCTTTGGACATATATGTATCATTAAAGAGGGAAAATTAAATACGTAGTATGTATAATTATGCAAATACGTTTTAATTTTTAATATTTATATATTTTACTTGCTCAGTTAAAATTTCATATAAAGGTTTTTACTTTGAAATTGAAACATTTGGAAGCTAGTAATTTGCAATATCAGGGAGAAGCATGGCTTAGTTAGTGATTAGCCTGACAGATTATGAATCCATCATTTACATCCTGCTGCTCCACACTTAAGAGCTGTGAGTGTATTATAAGAGTAATGGTCAAATCCTACTATTTGATTAGAGTAGTCCAACAGTTGGTGGTGGTGGGTGCTGTTAACTAGCTGCCACCCCTCTAGCCTCGGAGCTCAAACTTCAGATCAGCTAGCATGGATAGCCATTGTGTAACTTTATCCACATATCCAAATAAAATTAATGTTCATTTCACTTGTTCTTTAATTAAGCCACATATACTGTATGCTAAAACACCATTCAATCTCTTGCAATTTTTTACAGACTTTTAAACATAGGTGCTTATTTTTTAAGGTCACATAGGTGAGAAACACCAGCAGTTTTAATGTTATGGCATGGTGAACTTTATAACATGGTAATACTTTATCAGATCTCAATATTGTTTTAATAATTTGGTTTTAGTGAATATCATCTACAATTTGAAATTTGTTTTTCTTTCTTACAGATCAATTTTATGATAAAGTAATTGGGTTTGTGTCAGTTGACCTTTCACCTTTGACATTTGGATTTCAGTATGTATCTGGATGGTACAACATTTTAAATCTAACTGGACAGTGCTGTGGTCAATTGAAGGTCAGTGAATAATCATCAGACATGAAGCAGTTTTACAGTTCAACATTATTAAAATAAGACTGAATACTAGGATTTAGTTGCAATAAATAAAAATTCATGTCAGTTTTTTGTTTTGTTAAAACAATAATTCTTTAGGATATTTTAAAACTTTGTTTTGCATTTTTTACGGAGTAGGTGATTGTTCTGTCACATTGAATTGAAACACTGATAAGAGCAAAGAACTTGAAAGTTGTCATTTCCCTTTCAATAATTTGTACTAAATTCCCTTTGAAGTTACAGTGCTGTGTGACAATTATTAAGAAAGGTTTTTTTGACTGTACACAGTTCTATAAAGGAATAAACAGAAGTTTATTTTGTATTTATTAACTAGGCAATGTGTATGTTACTTTTATGAGTACTGTACACAAACCTAATTGAAGTTTTTTAAATTATTAACACTAGACATATTATACATATAAAAGGTAAACACAACATTTAAACTAAAATCTGAATGGAGGACAATACAACAGCAAATCAGTATCTTTAGATTTCGTGTGTGCTGTGCTGTTTGTAAAATTTATGAATATTGTCGAGGTTTAACAGTATATAAGAGAAACACTTAAAACCTTTGAGATGGTGCTAAAATTAAAAGCTACATACAGTGATTTAGAATTGGACTTTTTATGTTTAATGTTTTATGAATATTGTTTATACATGACTTAATACATTAGGCTGGTGGTAAAAGGAAATTTATACACTTATTCCATGAAATTTATTTTTGTAGGTTACTGTAACTCCTCACACTCAACTGTCATGCACCATAAAATCCAGTAGCAGAAAAAAAGTGAGTTTTATTTTGCTTTTACAAATGTTTTTTGCCAAAATAACTGTTGTTGGCCCAAACAAAAGTTTTGGGTATTATAAATAAATGCTGAAAAAAAAGAGCAAACAATTAAAAATGGAAAAAGAAAATATTTTTCTACTCTTTTTTTTTTTTGAGAAACCTAAGAAAATATTTATGTAACTTTAGTAGGTGACACTAACATTAAAGCAGTGAGCCACATCGAGGTACAGAGAGTTTTAGGCTTGAATGTTAAGACCTGGTGTACTGTCGGCTTGGAAAGAAGAGATCAAAGATTTTTCTCTACAATATATAAAACATGACCCTAACATAATTTTAATACTCAATGTGTAAATGTATACTTTTTTGCAGTGAAGGGTGAAGTTTGTTGAGATGTAGAAATTATTTATCTGTTGGTTAATGACAAACAGAAGTACTTAAGTAACCATTCTTGATACTAAATGATTAACTAATGTGTAGGTAGACTAAATTAAAAACAAAACAGAGAAAAGCTGTGTAACTCATTGATTGGCAGAGATCCGTGTGTCAGTGAACCTGAGCCATAACAAGTGTTTAAGTGTTGTGGACTTACTAAAGACTTCTCCAACACTCCCGACAAACAAATTTGAATAATTAGGGATCATTAGATGTACCCTAACTTTTATTAGAAAGTTTTTTTTAAAAAAAAAAAAACAGCTGTAGGTAACTACGAAGTACATTAACAAAACTGGAATAGTTTTACCTTTTTTTCCCATTTACTTGTTTCTTCCATATTTTCTTCACCCTTTTTTCACAATATTATATTTAATTACTATCTCTCAAAACGTTTTTTTTGGCTGGTTTTTGTTTATTTATTTGTTTTAGACACTAGCTTAGAACTTTTATATATTCTTTCAGTACTTCTTCTTTCATAAGTCACTTAGATGTGGGATTCTTGCCCCTCTACAAGTGATGTACTAAGCTTTTACTAATCTTTTTTTGTACTATTTGTAAGTTATGATCAATTTGAAAAATAGCCATGTCTTAAAAACCTTATACAAATATTTAATGACATTCCTCCCATTAATTTGTATACATCGGTATATATTTCAGTTTTGTTGCAGCGGAAGTGAATAAATTATTTACTGTAGCTTAGAAACGGGTGACCCTTGTGGATTTTATTTATTATATTTTGTTCTGTTACACTTTATTTAAATCTGAATCTTTTCAGTTTCAACTTGTTAAATACTAGAAAATTTAACTCATCTGATGTAAGATCTTTGTACTAAAAACAACAATTTTAATTACAACTACAAATATTTTTAATATTAAATTTTAAAGTAAATATAATACAAAGGATTGGATATAAGGATAACTTTTAATTAGTGATAGTGTGGCTAACACTTCAAAGTTCACCCAAGTAATTTTTCTTTTATTGGAAATATAATTTAAATAACAGTTTTTATGTTTAACAGTGACTAAATCACATTGGTGTTTTTTTTCACCCTCAGAATGTTTCTTACAGTTTCATGTGTCAGAAATAATAAGGAAGGTAATTTATAAAAATTAACAATAAAACAACAAATGGTGAGATTAATTATTTAACTAAAAGTTTTGGGTCTAAGCCCTAGCCCTTTTTTCAGTCACTTTCCCGAAGAAAGGCTTAAGCTTCAAAGATTTAGATGAATAATTAATGATGCCATTTGTTATTTGAAAATTTATTACTTTTTTTGTCGTCAGTCACCATTTGTCAATAGAATATGTTGTTTTTTTCTTTAGCCTTTCATTACGTTCTTGTGTTAAAGGGCTGTGCTTGAGAGAAATTAATACACAGTTTAGATTTTTTTCAATTGGATATGATTTCTCACAATCTTCAATCCATGTGGTTCATTTTTGAAAAGCTAAAGCTCCTGTTTGAATGTAGTAATTTCTGTCAGTATGTGTATTTAAGAAATAAAAAAAAATGTATTTGAATTAATCTAAATATTATTTACATGTTTTTCGAGTATTAAAAGTTATTAGATAACTTGATTTTTTTTAGGACGAACTTTTGGAAGTGTTACCAAATTATTTTGGTGTACCTTATCTGGAAGAGTTACCATCTTCAAATTCAGGTTCTATTTTCTATGGCTTGTTAAAGTAAGTAAGATGTTTTAAATTAACATTTTAATGAATTACCGAAGCTTATAAATATTTTTGAACATATTATTTCCTTTTCCTATAACTTTATTTTTTGTTTAAAAATTCATATAATCTATTTATGAAAACAAAAACTCTTGCTAAGATAAAAATAACATTTTAATAACTAGATTTGATGCTTAAGCTTCTTATAGTACAGGTGTTGACCTTGAGATGTGTAAAAGTTTTACTGAGAATTTTATCATTGGTATGGATAGGTTTAATAATTATGTATTAAATTCATAGATGCCAAACAAGGAAAAATTTATGTGTAAAAATATTTTTATGTTTTCAATGAGGAAGTGTGGTCAGAGTAAATTGGTAATGAATAAAAAGAAAATGATAATTTTTCTGTATTTTGGACAGCATATATTTGGCATTTTTATTTTAGTGCTCGCAGACAAGATTAATGTATTAATTGTATTGGTCAAGAACTCTGTTTTAATAATTTTTTTTTAAAACAATACCAGATAAAACTAAGGCTTAAATAGCATTTTAATTGTTATTATTTTATAGGTAAAATAATTTTGTTTTTAGAAAATAATGGTAGTGTTCACATTTTCATCAGCTACAATTTTTATTTTATGTATAAAAAGGTCATTTTGGAAAATGTTTTACTATCAATTTTTTTTCAACTACTTGTTATAGTTGTTATAGTTCAAGTTAACCTTTCTATATAGTTATATTGGGTCAAAGAGCTGTTAGTATGTTATGTAAGTTTTTGAAAATACTTTGCTGGGACACACACACACAAATGATTGTTTTGAGACCTCTGTAAGTTAGTAAACTTGTATTTGAAACAAACTGTAATACTATTGTTTCATGAAGTACACATGAATTTCAGTGTGTTTTGACTAATTCTATCATAAGTTTGTGTTTCATAAGTTCTGTTATTCAAAATTATACATTCTCTCTACTTTTACTTAATTTAGTGATTTTGACAAGACATAGACCTGTTAATCGTCTCTGTACTTCCTATGTTCTCTTCAGTCACATGTCATGGGATCACACACCCTTTACTTGTAGAATCTGTAGGCTAAGCACATTGTTATCATGTAGTATTATCTGTACTTGGTTCCCAACTGACTTATTCTCTCTTTTTTGCTGTATGAATTTCTCTTGATGCTTCACAGAAAACACTTGCTTTTATTTTCATTTACTTTTGATGTTATAACAATGCTTTCATATTTTAATATCTAAACCAACTTTTTGATTAATTTCATAAACTGTTTGATTTGCTGTGTTCTATCTACAAAAAAAAAGATAATTTGTTAAATAGTTTCATGTTGAAGATATTTTGTACTTTTGTTGTCTTTATCATTTGTCTATTCATCTGAGTTCCTTGACTGATGTTCTCTCTTTTTTGTAATAAAAATGTGTTGGTTATGTAATCTCTTATTTTAACAAATGAAAATTTTCATTATTTGGATACTTTTGTTTATTTTCACATAAATTGGAGCATTTGTAGAAAACAAGTGTTTACCTGTTGAAGACTTCATTATATAGGCTTAAAGCTTGCAATAAATATAAGTTTTATTATGGTAAAAAGTTCTGTTGCTTTTATTTCCTTATCATCAATGTGGACTTTGAATCATAAACAAAAATGTGCAGATGTTATCTTGGAATTACTTAAAATGTGTATTAGATGATATAACTTTAAAAGTTTTGTTCAGTGAATTGAAGCATATACATCGAAAAGAGACTGATGCTAAAGACAACATGAGTTACTTTGTTTTGAAAAAGTTAACACAATCGTATCTGAAATGTTTTTTTTTGTAAATATGTTTATGGTACTTTCTAAAATATTTGACATATTTTGACACCTTGTGTAATGTTTTTTAATACTGATGGTTGTCTCACTCATCCTGTTCTTTATATGTACTTACTTTGTTATGGAGTGTCCAAGGTTTTCCTGCATTTGGAGTATTCAGAACACTCATGATAGTTGTGTGTTTTATGAAACATAGGCTCACAATAATTTTTTTCTTTCATTTATCCTGTTTGTCACCAGTAAGATATTTATTGTGTTGCTGGGATGAATCAATTATTTGCAGTTTCTTAATTCTTTTTCTCAGAAATGGTTAATATGTCTTTATTTTTATTATTACTATCTACTTATCTATCTGTTTATGAATTCTAGTATTGAAGTTGAATATATTGGGTTTGAAATTAATATTTTAAAAGCATTAGTAACATAAAAGACAGATTGCCATAATGAGACCAGTTACAGATGATACCACCTAATAGGTACTACATCTCTTGGGCTGAAAACATTAGTAGACCATGTATACTTTCTCTCCTTTAAGTAAAGAAACAAGTAAAACCGTTAAGTAATAGTATAAGTAGGTGTGTCTGAAAGAAGGGTGTTAAAAGTAGAGAGTCATTTTGCCTGATATGCTAGTTTTTATGTAATGTGGTCTATAATGAAGTTTTAGATATGTTGTTTGTGAATCACTACAATTTTGATTTAGAATAACTTTAGTTATTGTTTCCAAACTAGAACTGGTATTTTAAAGATGTCTGGCCCAACTTGCATGTAAAATAATAATGATAACTTTAGTTATTGTTTCCAAATTAGAACTGATATTTTAAAGATGTCTGGCCCAACTTGCATGTAAAATAATAATGAAACTTTATAGTCAGATTTCAGTTCTCTTTAATTTCTTGGCCAGGGCATGATCTAGTGGTTAGCATGCCAGACTTTGAATCTAAGATTCTTGGTTTGTGTCTCTTTACCACAAGATTACATTCTGCATTTTGGGGCTATGGGTGTGTTATAAGAGTGATGGTTAGCAGTAGGTACTGTTGACTAGCTGCCTTCCCTCTAGTCTGTAAGTTCCAAGTTAGGGATGGCTAGCACAGATAGCTGAAATATACTTTAATATTTATAGTATTTTGGCACTTGTGTGTAAAGTTAAAATCATAAATAATATTCAACGTTAAACTGGTACACAATTTTATTTAGGCCTATTTATGGCCTTCAAAGTGTTGACGACTCTACATGTTTCAACATTAAAACGTCATCCCACTCCTGAGGATGACGTTGTAACATTGAAACATGTAGAGTCGTCAACTTTTTGAAGGCCATAGATAGGCCTAAATAAAATTGTATACCACTTTAACATTGAATATTATTTATGATTTTATACTTTAATATGTTTCTGTTCTTTCAGCTGGAATGTGAATTGTTAAGAATGGGTACAGCTAAGTGTGAAAACAGTCAAAGTTTTTTGGAGTTATTTATCAAAATAATAAACAAATAATTATAAATTATTTATATATTTGGTGTAACTGTATTTAAACTTTGTTCAACTTATACCAAATCTATTGAACTATGCCTGAATGAGTATAATATTTTCTAAAATATTACTATTTACGTGTGTGTAACATGGATGTAAATTAAATAGCTTGTCTCATATTGATTGTAGTGCAAATAACATGATGTAAAAAATGATGCTTTTAAACCTGAGCAAGCAAAACATTCAAAATTTGACAAGTTCTACCACATATCACATTTATTGTTTATTGAGAAAACAGTACTGGTTTTTCTTTTTAAACTACATGAATGAGGAAGTAATTTGGGTAAAAAAGTTAAGAACACACACACATTTGCATTTTTGTTCTTGATTTTTTTTGTCAAGTAGTATATGCTGTTCAATATTTTATTTTATTTTATTATTCAGGAAACAGTTAGCAGAGCTAGATATAATCCAAGAAAAACTGACAGAACGAATAAAGCAGTCATCAAATAATGACACTTTCAAAAAGATTAGTATCAATTCACATGAGCTCCATTCTTCTGCAAAAACACCCTCACAAGAAAGAAACAATGCTTCAAGAAATCTGACAAAAGTCAATGATATTCAAAATTTCCAAAAGATGCCTGCAGCATCTGTCTTAATAATGGCTGGAGAGAGTAGTGCTGGGGTTTCAGACAGCTATGATCAGAATAATGAATCTGAGGGGAATTCCATGTCTAAAACCTTTCCCACTCAATGTATTCCAGCTGATGTAGAATCCAGAGTAGCGGATTCAGCTGTTGCTCATGTCACTGTGAATTCAACTCTCCAGACGAAAACACTTCTACGTCAGAACCCGCTAGATCATCTTTAAACAAATGCTGGCTTGGGCTGAATCCATGAGATGTATTAAGAAGCCTAGGAGAAAGGATGGGAAACTCTGACACGTGACCTTCACACTCTCTACCTTCATTAACATTGCTGTTGTTATGTGAAAGAACCTGAGGATCACCCATGGAGTGGAGATGATGAAGACAGTGGATATCCTGGGACTGTTCAAGCTGATGAAAAGTGGATGCAGAGTAAGCAGTTTAGAACTATCGGTAGAGAGAGAAGTGTAAATGGTTCTCATCCTGATGAAAAGGAAGAAATAAATAAAATGATGTATGTTCAAGTGCGTAATATGGCAATAAATAAAGAAAATAGTTGGACTAGTGACAATCCATCATCACCACAAGATGAAAGAGGTTCACTTCCTGAAGGCTCAGTTCATTTCCAGCAAACATCTAGTGAAACTAGAGACTTTGTTACACTACCCACTTGTACATCATGCAGAATTCAAAGTTATGGGTCCGAGATGAGAGCAGTCAGTCCAGATTCTGGTGAGATGAAAACAAATGATAACACTGAACATATTCTTGAAGTGGTTCGACCATTTTCTCCACTTTCTTTGGAGGTACAGCAGGTAATTTCAGCAACTGTTAAAGACAGTTTTTGTAGGGTTGGTGCAGCTAGTCAAGATCATAGCTATATCCAAGAATCTAGTTTTTGTAAATTGTTCAAAGTTGGACAAGAAGAGAAGAATGAAAGTGTAGAACACAAAGAAAACACGTGTTCTACAGTTGATGATGTCAGTGATTTGACAGAAGAACTGGAAGATGTGGAAAGAAGTAAGGTGAGCTCCATAGGAGAAATTAGTTATCCTAATCAGGATGCGAAGGAAAAAAATGAAAGATCTTTTTCCAGTAGCAATTGGAACACATACAGGTTCTCCACTTTTCCAAACTTTTTTCTCCCCCCACAGGATTTGGAAAAGTCTATGAGAACCCTTAGAACGGCTTTACTGATACCATCTCGGAAAGAGGTACAGTTAAACCTCTGTATATACTATTCAAGAAAACTTTTATCAAGAGTTTAATACTGGTACTTGAATTATTAAAAATTCAAATAATGAGTAACATTACACTAATCCTCAAAGAATGAGTAACATTAAACTAATCCTCACAGAATAAGTAACGTTAAACTAATCTCCAAAGAATGGGTAACATTAAACTAATCCTCAAAGAATGAGTAACATTAAACTAATCCTCACAGAATAAGTAACATTAAACTAATCCTCAAAGAATGAGTAACATTAAACTAATCCTCCAAGAATGAGTAACATTAAACTAATCTCCAAAGAATGTGTAACATTAAACTAATCCTCAAAGAATGAGTAACATTAAACTAATCCTCACAGAATAAGTAACATTAAATGGGTAACATTAAACTAATTAATTAAACTAACATTAAACTAATCCTCACAGAATAAGTAACATTAAATGGGTAACATTAAACTAATTAATTAAACTAACTAATTAAACTAACATTAAACTAATCCTCAAAGAATGAGTAACATTAAACTAATCTCCAAAGAATGTGTAACATTAAACTAATCCTCAAAGAATGAGTAACATTAAAACAATCTCCAAAGAATGTGTAATATTAAACTGATCCTCATACAATGAGTAACATTAAACTAATCTCCAAAGAATGGGTAACATTAAACTGATCCTCACAGAATGAGTAAAATTAAACTAATCTCCAAAAAATGGGTAACATTAAACTGATCCTCACAGAATGGGTAACATTAAACTAATCTCCAAAGAATGGGTAACATTAAACTGATCCTCACAGAATGAGTAAAATTAAACTAATCTCCAAAAAATGGG